AAGGCATCATTAGAGATAAAGAAGGCCACTTCATAATGACAGAAAGATACACAGTTGGTCCTTCAACAACATGGGGGTCAGAGGCACTGAACCCCTTTGCAGTCAAAAATCCACGTATAACTTTTAACTACCTCCAAAATTAACTACTGATAGCTTACTGTTGACTGGAAGCCTTACCAATAACATAAATCCCTGTTTATCAACAGACTTCATATGTCACACTCTATTCTTACAATAAAATAAGCCATAGGAAAAACATTTTTAAGAAATCATAAGAAAGAAAAATATATATTTATTCATTAAGTGAAAGTAGATCACCATAAAGGTCTTCATCTTGGTGGTCTTTACATTGAGTAGGCTGAGGAAGAGTAGGAAGAGGGTTTGGTCTTCTATCTCAAGGGTGGCAGAGGCAGAAGAGGTGATAGAGGTGGGAGGGGTGTCATGCTTGGTGTAATACTTATGGAAAGAAAATCTGTATAAGTAGACCCACATAGTTCAGATCTCTGTTAAGGGTTGGTTATAATAGCCTTTAAACACATACAGCAAAAATAGAAGTTAAAGGAGAAACAGATAAAATTTAATCACACCTGACTTTGCATTCTTTTTAAGCACCTGTGGAATATTTACAAAAATTGACTATATACTGTGCTGAAAAGCAAGTCTGAACAAATATTAAAGGATGGCTATTATACATAATACGTTTGCCAGTTACACTATAGGAAGCTAGAAATCAAAACTAAAATATAACTAGGAAATTATATGTTGAAATCAGAATAATATATATTTAAATCTTTAGTAGATTTCAAGTTACCTTGACTTTGTGGGATACAACTAAAGCCAGCTTAGAGGTATATGTAAAATTTTAGATGTATATGTTAGAAAAGAAGGAATACCAGTGAGCAAAGTACTCATTTCAAAGAATTAGAAAAAGAAAAGCAGATTAAACAAAGGAAATAGAAGGAAGGAAATAATTAAATGAAGAGTAGAAATCAATTAAAGACAAACACAAAATCAAATAATTCAATATATTAGCTAGCTATAGCTGCATTATAATAAATTGCTCCAAAAACTTAAAACTTAAGTAAACCACTTACTGAGTTCCTGAGTCCTTCCAGTCAGCTGTAGGGTCAGCTAAGTGGTTCTATTTCTGGGAGTTGCCTGATTGCAGGTATTGATGATGACTGGCCCACTAGCTTTCATTCCCCAACAAGTTAGTCGAAGCTTGTTTACATGGGGGAAAAGGGCTCTAACAGAGTAGAGTAGAACCACAGAAGACTGACACTTGGGCATATCATTCTTACCTCTCCATTGTGTTGGCCAAAGCAAGAGATGGGAGGAGGTACAGATTCCCTTTGCAGATGGCATGGACAAAGTGAGGGGCAGAGAATTGTGACCATTTTTGAAATCAGTCTACCTCAGTCAACAAAAGCAGGTTCTTTTAAAACGGTTGTGAAGGCTGATCAAGAAACAGGAAGATACAGGTAGCCAGTCAAGAATTAAAAAATGAGACATCGTTTCAGATCTTACAGGTATTAAAAATAAAATTAGACAATATACTTTAACAAATTTGAAAATTTAGACAAAATGGACACAACTTAAAAATTGACATATGAAGGAATATAAAATCTGGATTAAAGAAATATTTAGGGGAAGAAACTCAAATGGCTGCGTTTGTACTGAAATAAACATTTTTTTCTTGATCATTATTTCCTAAGCAATACAGCATAACAGTGATTTACATAGTATTTACATTATATTAGGTATTTGAAGTAATCTGAAGATGATATGAATTATATTGGAGGTTGTACATAGGTTATGTGCAGATATGACCATTTTATATAAGGAACTTAATTAAGCATCTGTGGATTCTGGTATTTGTGTGGGGACCTGGAACCAGCCCCCCCGCCCCCAAAACTGAGTGGTGATTGTATAGATAAATATTTATGACACTGTGGAGCAATTGGAAAAGGACAGTCTTCTCAATAACATTTGGATATTCATGCGAGAGAAAAAGAAAATTATCCACAGACATCAATTCCTGGTAGATTGTAGATGTAAATGTGAAAAACTTAACAATAAAGCTTCTAAATGATAACACTAGAGGATATCTTGGTGACCTTGGGGTTGGCAGAGACTTCTTTTAAACAGGACGCAGAAAACACTAGCCATGAAGATAATATTGAAAATTTGAACTACATTAAAATAAAAAACTTTCAGTTATCATAAGAAGCCATTAAAAGGGGAGAAGACAAGCCACAGGAGGGGAAAAATACTTGCCAGTTGTATAACCACAAAGTAGAAATCAATAAGGAAAAGAGAATACAATAGGGAAAATATAGGAAACTTCAAGTGTCCTTGAAAAAATGCATATCCAAATGGCCAACAAACCTGAAAAAATGCTCAGCTTTGTTAGTAATCAGAGAAATGGTAATGGAAGCATTTAATACATACACTAGAATGGTTAAAATATAAAAGCACTGATAATAAATACTGGAGAGGAGGAAGTGGGCCCAAATAAATTTTTATGTAAATACATACTACTCTGCTGGGATAAAAATATGTACAACTATTTTAGAAAATAATTTAGTACTACATACTAAAGATTTTTAAAATAAATTATCTTTTTTGCCCTGCAGTCTTTTCGCAAGGGTTAGTCTTCTTCTGCTTCCTTATCTTGTCCTGTATCTCATGATAGATGTTTCAGTGTGAAACAATGAAAATTGTAATTAGGAGCTTGTGTTCATGAATAGATAGGCTCTTTCACTGCCAACCTTAATTTGGGGTGACCACCTAAAGCACCAGTCTTTGAAATGGAAATCATATAATGGAACACAGAATTCTTTTCTCTGGAGTAGTTCAATTTTTCTAGAGAAAAAAACTAGCCCATTACCTACGAGTCAAATGCCTGGCTCTTGGTGTTCTGTGGGCAGTGATGGTCAGTTGTTCTATGTGTTATTTCCACCTTTTTATTCTTGTTTTCTGCAAAACCTAATGTCTGCATGTCAAGTCTCTCTGGAGATCGGTAGGGCAAATTTGCTACTGATCACATCTTCTAGAAATGACATTCCAAACTTTATTAAGAGTAAGAGCCTGAGGTATTTTCTTAAAAAAGGTAGGTTCTTACCTACTATGGCAGACTTTTCACTGGACCTTGTATGTGTATTGTGCTATACACATATATATCTGCACATGCAAATCACTGTAGCTCTATCAGATACTATTATTCCCCATTCTGTAATTGAGGCTGATTTGATTTGATATTCAGATTCCTTTTTTTTTTGGACACAGTCTTCCTCTATTGTTCAGGCTGGAGTGCAGTGGTGTGATCTCAGCTCACTGCAACTTCCACCTCCTGGGTTCAGACAATTCTCATGCCTCAGCCACCCAGCTAGCTGGAATTACAGGTGTGCACCACCAAGCCTGGCTAATTTTTGTAGTTTTAGTAGAGATGGGGTTTCCCCATGTTGGCCAGGCTTGTCTTGAATGCCTGATCTCAAATGATCCACCCACCTCAGCCTCCCAAAGAATTAGGATTACAGCCACCGAGCCAGCCGATTTTCAGATTCCTTATTACTGTCTTCATATTTAAGCTTGAATACCAGCTAGAATCTATGTGCTTTCAGAGTTTAAACACATAATCGTAGTATACTACTTGAGTTTTATTTAAATTGGGGATTGGGAAGTTTAAGTTGATGAGTTTCTAAATTGAAGTACTTTGTTAAAATGTGTCATGGTGGGGGTTTAGTAGGGTAAAGAGGTAAAGTTAACTGTATACTGAAGCACTGGGCAAAGATGAGGGGCTTTATTTGAATATAAAGAGGTATTATGGACAAATTTCAGAATCTAGGATCTTGAAGAGCTAAATTAAGTGCTTATAGATCAGACTGTGAGTCTCAACATAGGGTGAAAGAAGTATGAAAATCCCCTCAGAGACTTTGTTCAAACAATATGGGCATTTTGCCTAGCACTTTTCATTTGAGAATCACTTTTCTAAGATGTGGCAATGCGAAAGTAGAGCCAGTGGAGTACAGAAGATTGCAGCTTCTTTAGAACTGATGGCGGTGGATTTTCTAGCATGTTACTTTAATTAATGATGTACTAACAGTTGAATAAATGCAAGAAAAAAGTAGGAACCATATGCATAAGAGTCAGTACCTATTTGATTGAATAAATAAATGAAAACCACCGTGGATTTTTGTGGAACTGATGACAAACACTTATATTTTGGTGTTTTATGCAGATGACATACAAATGAGGAAAATTTACTGTTCACTATTCATCCTATTCCTCCTATTGGCCTTAAAGAAATAACTTGTATATATGAATACTAGGAGTTTCTGTTGAGGGATGGTAATTTTTTAATTTTTTATTGTACAGTTATTTATATAATTATTGATATCACCGTCCCATTTAGTGATATTCAGAGTTTAAGGTTCTTATAAGTTAAAGGTAGAAAGGAATATGTACTCTTAGGACACATTTAGCATAGCCCGCCCATAGTTTTCAGTTACAGAATTCTCTGAACAGTTGCTTTGGAGAAAACGTAACTTTTCTTAGGTAAATAAAAGAAGACTTCCCCCCAAGGATTTCAGTAGAAAGGACAGACGCTAACAATTTCTTCAACACTGTCATTACAAAGAGACAGTTAGGAATTTTGTGGAAGGGACTTGTATTCTTGGCTGGCATCTGATATTTTGTCAAATTCTTAATATTCTCTGTTTTAGGCTATGCGTTGATGGATAGTTGTACCTGTTCTAGCTGTATACTGTTCCCAATTCATAGTTTGTGTTAATACATTTGAAAATGTAGTGCTAAACAATGAGCTATTGTAATTAGACCTGAGACTTAGCAAGAAATTCATAAGGGCTTTAGATTTTATTTCAACTTAGTATTAAAAAGAAATTTAACTTGAGTAAGTAAATATAGATATACGTTATATTTTAAGAGCTGTAATTCCAACAAGTGAATAATGTATGGTGACCTTTTTTTTGTTTTTTCAGTTTAATTTTGTTGGGCGAATTCTTGGACCGAGAGGACTTACAGCCAAACAACTTGAAGCAGAGACGGGATGTAAAATAATGGTCCGAGGCAAAGGCTCAATGAGGGATAAAAAAAAGGTAAGTCCTTGAAAATGGGCCAAGTCTTTATGTGAATAACTTACTATACTTTTACATCCTCCTAATAATCAAATTTCCAGATTTTTTTTTTTTTGTGCCTAAAACACTATACTCCATGTCAGGAACTTTTAAACTTTTTGAAGATGTTGTCTGATTTTCCCTTGTTAATTATTATCTTTTACTTAGCAAATTAAAGTATCAGTTTGTCATGTTACCTTACTTTGTTATTTACATTTGGGAAGCTGCTGATTTGGAAATTAGACAGTAATGTTGTATAAACATATATAACTAAAAGTTTGAAAAATCTAAAATATTTCCTTTGATGAGATTTAAGAATTGTCAAATAACTTTGGATGTATGTCAAATTACTGGGAGTGTTAGAAGATAGCAGTCTATTAAAAGGAAGGCTGTCACTAGCCATATTAGATACATTTTGGGTTTCACCAATATTTTGTGTTGATTTAAACACATTTTAGAGTATATTGTTTTAGAGAGAGAGAGAGAGAGTGTGTGTGTGTGTGTGTGTGTGTTTCTCCTGATATTTCTTCTTTTGCTGGTTTAATTAGTAAAGACCCAGCTATCTAAATATTATTGTTAGGAAGATTTTATTTACCTAGTTTGTTTTATCCAGCAATACTGTGAGGCGGGATACTTTTGAATTTCTATCCTTGTACAAATTGGCAGATTAAAAAAAATTGATTTTGATGGCCAAAGATTAAAAATGTTTTAGGAAGGTTTGTTTTCATTTGTTTATTTATTTATTTATTTTTTAAAATACCTGGACTCGAAGGGGCTATCTAGGAATAGTCTGTGGTTAGCTGTGTTATATACCATGTGCACTGAATCGCTTTGTGGAACTTAACGAAGTGAACACCAAACCCACAGGGTAACTGATAAACTTGTTTTCTGAACCCTCTGCCTTGTATCTTTTAAGCCCTCACATAGGGTGCCTGGATCTCATTCGTTTTTGCTCCTCATCAGTGATTTAGTTGCCAAATTTGGGCAGAATGTTGTCATAATATTGATTATTTAAAAGTCTTATAACCTATTCTTTGTCAGCTGTGTTTAAAGGTATTTTCTTAGGAGTCTGTGAGTTCTCCTTGAGCGTTTTTAGATGTTGTCCTAAATGTTTTATTAGAATCTTATGAAAATTTGTGCATATTTTGAATCAGCTGAGTGATAATCTTTTCAAAAGAATGTTGCCATAAAGTTTTGGTTCTGATGTTTGGACTTAGGATCAGGTGGGCATTAAGTAATACTAGTTTAATTGCCTATGGAAAATGAATGAAGTCTTGGCAACTGACAGATATATAAATCTGCATGAAAAGATTATTACATATTCATCAGTTAAGCTATTCTGTCAGCCAGTTAACAAAACCACTTTTTCCCCTCTTTTGAGTTTCTATGATTTCTGTAGTAATGGCCCTCTACTCACCTTGCTCACTCTTTCAAATAATCACAGACAACTAGGATTAGAGCTTGTAACTGTGTGGTTATACTGTTGTACTCTTATAAGTGTTTATGATAAAAGTAAAGTCAGAATGGAATGCTTGGCTATTTGGTAAAGAACATGAAAAGAGATGGAAGCAAAAAGAAGTATTGATGTAAGTAATAAAGATAGCTCATTCAGATGTATTTCAGGAGTTCAAAAGGAAAAGCCATTCGCTTTAAGCTTTTCTACAGAGTCGTCATATGTATGTACTAAGAAAGCTAGAAAAAATTTACTGGTTGCCTGTTTTACTTTTAACAAAAATGTTATGATGAGAATGTTGTGTGCTGGTCTGAATTCTTCCCTACACTGGTAAACTTAGTGAGAGCCTACTATGGCTATTTTATGGAGTATTTGTTTCCTTGGTGTTTGGTGAGTACCTGGCACAGAGTGTAGGCACTTAAAAAAGTATTTGTGAAAAGAGAGAGCAGTTGAGGTAATAAATGAAAGGCTTAGGTGCACCTTCCCTCTTGTTTCCTGAAAAAGTTTGGTAAATAAAGAAAATTATAAATGCTATGTACTGCTAATGCTTTGCGGAAGATGGTAAGATACTAAGCTACTGGTTTTAAGCAACTAAGTTAATATGCCACTTTAATTTTCATTCTCTTAGATTGTTATTATGAAAGACTTGTCTGTACCAGCCAAGTTTTATTATTACTGTTTTGTAAATGAAGAGACCAAAGCCTCAGGGAAGTTGAGTAATTTGCCAAAGGTCACATGCCAAAATGTGGCAGTCAAAATTTGAAACTAGGCTAGGCACAGTGGCTCACACCTGTAATGTCAGCACTTTGGGAGGCTGAGGTGGGAGGATACCAGGAGTTGAAGACCAACCTGGGCAACATAGTGAGACTCCATCTCTACAATAAAACTTAAAAATATTAGCCAGGTATGGTGGTATGCACTTGTAGTCCTAGCTTTCTAGGTAGACTGAGGTGGGAGGATGCTTGAGCACAGGAGTTGACACAGCAGTAAGCTGTGGTTGTATGCCACTGCACTCCAGCCTGAGTGACAGAATGAGACCCTGTCTTGGGAAAAAAGAAAATTGAAACTGAAGTTTGAGTTCTATCTGTGGTATACCAGCTGTTAATTATGAACCATTTCTAAGAGTGATAATTTTAGACATATTAGAACAACTTGAATATTGAGTATTATAAACTTTGACTACCATTTCACACACCACTTAGTATACTTCTGACACCAGATATGTGGGGGTTTCTCCCCACAAACCAAACAAATCTCCAGGAAACACCATTTAGATGTCCTCTAATTCAATTCAAAACTGGAGATAATGTCACATACCACAGATGGAGGGCTCAGACCTGTAAGACTGTTTCCACTTCAAATGCCAGCTGCAAGCCCCAGTGATGACCTGTGCTTTTAACTGACCAACAAGTCCCTCCTCGGGTTCAATTAATTTGCTAGAGTAGTTCGCAGAACTCAGGGAAAAACACTTATTTATTATAAAGGATGTTACAAAGAATACTGATGAAAAACACATGGAAAATATACATAGGGCAAGATGTGGGAAGGGGCTCAGAGCTTTCATTCCTTCTCCAGTGTGCCACCCTCTAGGTACCTTCATGTGTTTGTTCAGCTCTTTGGAATCTCTCCAAACCCTGTCCTTCTGTTTTTTGTTTTGTTTTGTTTTTAAATGGAGGTTTCATTATGTAGGCATGACTGATTACATCACTGGCCGTTGGTGATAACTCAACATTCAGCCTTTCTCCCTTCCCTAGAGCTTGGGAAATGAGGCTGAAAGTTTCGGCTCTCTGTTCACTTGGTTGGGGTTTCTCTGGCAATCAGCCTTGATCTTATGACTATCCAGGGACCCCACCCATTTGTCACTTCATTTTACAAAAAGACACAAAACAGTTTCCAGACCACCACAGTAAGGGAATATTGCAATAAAGCTAGTCACACCTTTTTTTAGTTTCCTAGAGCATATGAAAGTTATGTTTATACTGTATTATAGTCTGTTAAGTGTGCAACAGCCTGATGTCTAAAAGATATACATACCGGTCGAGTGCGGTGGCTCATGCCTGTAATCCTAGCACTGTGGGAGACTGAGGTGGGCAGATCACAAGGTCAGGAGACTGAGAGCATCCTGGCCAACATGGTGAAATCCCGTCTCTACTAAAGATACAAAAATTAGCTGGGCATGGTGGTGCCTGCCTGTAATCTCAGCTACTCGGGAGGTTGGGGCAGGAGAATTGCTTGAACCCGGTAGGCAGAGGCTGCAGTGAGCTGAGATTGCGCCAGCTGCACTCCAGCCTAGCAACAGAGTGAGACTCTGTCTCAAAAAAAAAAATACACCTTAGTTTAAAAATACTTTATCACTTAAAAAATGCAATCATCTGAACCTTCAGCAAAGTTTGAATCTTTTGCTGGTAGAATGTCTTGCCTAGAAGTGGATGGCTACTGACCAGGGTGGTGGTTACCGGTGGTTGAGGTGACTGTGACAGTTGCTTAAAATAAGAACAATGAAGTTTGCCTCATGGATTTACTCTTCCTTTCACAAAAGATGTCTCTGTAGCATGCAGTGCTCTTTGATAGCATTTTACCCACAGGAGAACTGTTTTTAATATTGGTCTCAGTCCTCTCAAACCTTGCTGTTACTTTTTAAATTAAGTTCATGTAATATTCTAAATTTTTTATTGTCATTTCAACAGTGTTCACAGTATCTTAACCACAAATACATTCCATCCCAAGAAATCACTCTCTCTGCTCACCCATAAGAAGCAACTCCTGATCAATTTTTATCATGAGATTGCAGCAATTCAGTCACATCTTCAGGCTCCACTTCTGATTCTCGTTCTCTTGCCGTTTCCACATCTACAGTTTCTTCCACCACCATACTCTTGAACTCCTCAGAGTCAAGGGTTGGAATCAACTTTTTCCAGATTCCTGCTAATGTTGATATTTTGACCTCTGTCCATGAATCATGAATGTGTTTAATGGCATTAAGAATAGTGATTCCTTTCCAGAAGGTTTTCAATATACTTTGCCCAGATTTATCAGAGGAATCACTATCTTTGGCAGCTATAGGCTTACGAAAGACATTTCTGAAATAATAAGGCTTGAAAGTCTATAAATTACTCCTTGATTCATGGGCTACAGAATGAATGTTGTGTTAGCAGGCATGAAAACAGTGTTCATCTCCTTGGACATCTCCATCACAGGTTTTGAGTTACCAGATGCATTGACAATGAGCAGTCATATTTTGAAAGGAATCTCTTTCTGAGCAGTAAGTCTTAACAGTAGGCTTAAAATACTCAGTAAACCTTTCTGTAAACAGATGTGCTGACATTCAGGCTTTGTTGTTCCTATTATAGAGCACAGATAGGGTACATTTAGCATAATTTTTTTTTTAAAGGCAGAATCTTGCTCTTCCGCCCAGGCTGGAGTGAAGGGGTACGATCTCAGCTCACTGCAACCTCTGCCTTCTGGGTTCAAGTGGTTCTCGTGCTCAGCCTCCTGAGTAGCTGGGATTACAGGCATTCACCACCACGCA